GCCTACATGAAGAAACCCCAAAAAGGAGGGTGGGACACAGGGTCGCTGAACAGAGGAGTTGGGAGTTTTCTCAGACTGTATCTTTTTATGTGATTTTAATTTATGGAACATGTGATGCATGAACTATTAACAATAATGTGGGGCCTCCCTGATGGGCAAAGGGTTAAGTCGCAGCACAAGGAAGCTGTCTGTAGCACAAGATCGATCCCAGCCAGGGAGCTGGTCCAGTTTGAAGCCCTGAAAGAAGTGCATCAGATGACTGTATTCAAAGTCTCCTTCAACTCTAGAATGCTCTTCTTCAAAAATTTCAACTACAAGATGCTTAAACTATTAGTCATATTTATAGCAGACCTTCCTTGACGCTCCCCGGCGACGTCTCTCTCCGCTCATCACAATATATTGTATTGGGTATTACATATTTCTCCCCCATGAAATGTTAAGTTCCTAAGAGTAGGTTCTACCAAACCACTAGACAAGGAGCAGTTTTCAGTAAACATTTGTTAAATTCAAATAATATTTACTGAGGGCTTCCCATGTGTCAGGTACCCTTCTAAATGCATTATCTTTATATTCATTAACTATTTTCATAATAACTTTCTGACAAACTATAATCTTTATTTTTTAGAAAAGGAAATTGAGAGAGGGGTAAAATAATTTGCCCAAGGCTAGTGGCCACTGTTAAAATATGAAACCTGGGATCTGTGCTATTTATCACTAGCTCTCTGTTGTTTAAAGGCTTCAGGACATGATATATTCAGAAAACATTCCCCTTTATTGTTTTAATTTGCAACATGTAGTTGCAAAGTACAAAGTGCTTTGCAGCAAAAAGATCCCCAAGATACTTCAAGGGGGTTCACTACTTGGGTGGGAATCAAAATCATTTTTAAAATAGTAAAATATTATTTGGCTTTCCTCCCCCTCTCATTCTCTCATAAGTGTACACTGGTGTTTCCCAGAGTTTACATGGCATGTGCTATTAGAACAGACTGACTACAAGTAGGTATGAGAATCCAGATGTCTTCTAATAAGTTAGACATTGAAGAGATTTGCATATATGTAAAACAATGCCACTCTCACTAAATTTTTGTTTGGAAAATAGTTCTTCACAAAAAATGATTTTTGGGGGCCTCCCTGGTGGCACAGGGGTAAAAGTCTCAGAACTATTGAGCTACTGCCAGGCACTGTGGCAAGAGTTCAATCCCCAGTTCAGCAGACCTCTCCTGTCTGGCCTGCGGCTCCCCTCAGCAGTGTATTTCAGTAGATCCACCTATTCCATTCCCCACTCTGTCTCTAGTGAATCCTCTCACTTCCCTCTCCTTCCCCCACCTCTGGCCTACACCCCAGTTCTCATATGCATAAATAAAAATAAATCTTTAAAAAAAATGATTTGTATGTAACAGATTTAGCTAATTATTTTAAATGAATTAAATATTTTCTAAAATTTCTCAATTTTTACTACAGTAAGCACTGATATAAACAGAACTCTTTAGCGGCCTCCACAATTTGTAAGCGCATAATGAGATCCTAAGAAGAAAAATTCAAGATCATTGATCCAGTTAGCCTAAACTGTCCGGTACTCCTGGTCCCTGACAGTAAGGCACATTTTCCCTGCCTACCATATTGTAATTCTAAAGGCTGACGTAAAAAAGGTAATGGGGAAATGGGAAAGATGAGAAGTACTAGGGCAGGTATGTGATTTTCCTAGGCTTATATTTTTTAATTTATAACCGGTAACATTTACAGTGAAATCTACTGTAAACTATCAATGGCATTCTCAATGGCATTCCGAACAGTGCCTCTGCCTTTCAAGACTACAGCAATGCAAGAGGTACCTCTGATACTTCAGATTCAAATTGTGTATTTCAACATTCCTTTATTAAACCAAGTAACTACTGCAATATAATCAGAAGAATTTATAGGATTACCAAGACTGATGTCATTAACTCAATCTGAGGCTTCATGTACTGAAACAACTCATATTTTTTATAGAGCATAGAACTCTAAATTTTTTATAAGCTACATAAAACAATCTGCCTAACTTCAAATCCATTCCATGGACACATCTTTAATAACATTTGACATACTTTTTATGTGCTTAACGAAGTGAAACTAATTTTGCTCAACTAAAAAAAAGTGCAAAATCCAGGTCAGTTTTATTTATTTAATGAAATGGTTAGGGCCCTCAGTTACTGGGTGTGCTGCTGGCACTTTGTACAGCTGGAATATCACTGCATACAACTATTAATTACATAAGGGAAAGTGTAGACTTCACCATAGCAAAGGCTATTAGCTTTGATAACTATTAGTGTCAATCATTATTCACTAACCAATACTTCTGAATGCCTACCATGGCTCTATGCTAGGCACCAATCTGCAATTCTTTTTAACTTTGGTAGCCTTAGTTCATGACACTGTATAGGTTTTTAATTTTCATGGGACTTGCATTCTGCTGTGGTAAATAGGTAAACAATCATAGAGAAAATAAGATAATTATAAATGTGGTATTGCTACAATGCTAAATGCTATTAAGGGGACAAACAAGGCTTTTTGCAACAGATTGGTCTTTGAAAACTGAATTGTGGAATTAAAACCTACAAATAAATAATTCATGAAGAATTACATCAAGATGACATGGATTCTATACATCTTTACTAATGCATATGAAAACTACAGACACTGCCCATGAAAACAGAGATCAATCTTTCATTGTCAAAGCTAGGGGATGGCATTACTTAGCAATATAGTAGCCTCAAAAGACAATTAACCTCACAGTTGCAATATTAAAAAGCATGTAAACACAATCCTAAAAAATACAAGTCTATGGAGATAAGGCAACTAAATACAATGTGGTAGGTAATCTATTTGAATGCTGAATCTGGAAAAGACAAAAAACTAAGGAAATCTGAATAAACTATGGCTAATAATAACATTGGCTAATTAATTGTAACAAATGTATCATGTTAATGTAAAATTTAATAATAGGGAATACAGGGTGGGGCTCTATGGGAACCCAAGGCACTATCATTTTTTCTCTAAATCTGAAACTGTTCTAAAAAATTAAATTTGAAAAATGGCTTTAGCAATTCCTAGTTAGTAAACACTTAAAGAAAAAGAAAAAACCATAAAACCCTGTAATGTGAATTAAAACATACTCAAGAAATTCAAAGGAAACCTGCAGATACTTAAATCACGATCTATATTCATACTAAAATCTCCCTGAGACAAAGATTAATGTATTTTTCATTCAAACTAAATAGCTCTGCATCACAACATAAGACAGGCAATAATATCCCTAGAGTGCACAATAAGCACTTTAGATTCTAGTTATCAATAACGAGAAATAGGTTCTATTATATGTATAGCCCTATTCTAAAATGTCCGTAAAATGGACCAGGATCAACCCCATAGGTTTTACCAAGTTACTCACCTAAAGAAATAAGTTTAGACTTCAGGAAAATTCGTAAGCAAAGAGAGTTTATTTTTCTTGGTAAGTAGGAAGAGATTAAGATTCTGTCTAAAAAAAAAAATTTATTTCCCAAGTCCAAATGCAAGCAATTTTGCAACTTGTATTAATCTACTTTAATGCCATACAAATATAAACAGTTCAAGGCAGCAATAAGAGCTATGAATTTACATTTTCGTCCTCACGATCAAAACTATTTTCTATAAACTAAGACACGTTGTAAGTATTCAGTGCTTAATAACTTGGGGGAAACAGGTCTCTCAATGTCTGAATGTTAAAGATGGCCAAGAAAAGTGTGAGAAAAACAAAAAGGAGAGATAATCTGGAAATTGAGTGTCGAATTTACATAATATGGCATAAAAATTGGAATTAACCAATTCCAATTGACACTAAAAGACAGTCATCACAAAAAAATCAGGATCTTACATCTAATACAAAGTACGTGGACAGAAGCCTGACCAGGTGAATGACACAATTTCACTCAACAGCCAGTATGGACTATTAAGCATAAAAGAGTCATTTAGCTGAAATGACACTGCATATTTAAATCTAATTTAGATAACTAGATGATGAATTTATTCTTACTCTACTCCATTACTCTCTAACCCCAAAAGAAATCCTACAAAGATTTTCGTTATTCTCAAACCTTCTCTCACAGGAATCCTAAACCTATAATTGGAAAATACTCAAGAAGAAACAGAATAATTAACACGTCCCCAGTAATTCCTGTTTGCACCCCCATGAGGAGATTAAGACACTGTTTCGTGTTGAAACGAGAAAAAGGAGAGGTGAGATGTGAAAAATTCCAAGTAAAACCATCATGACATAGCATCTGGCAGAGATCGGGGAAGCATTTCCACTGCCAAAGAACTGAGAGATGAAAGTCAAGAGAGGAATGAGAGGTTTTCCAACAAGCCACAAGGCCAACCCAAGGGGCAAAAATCAGCACTGCCGCCACCACCCCACTCACCCCCCAACACTCCGTCTCAAGTCGCCTCCGATCCACAGATATTTCCTCTCCAACCCAGAAATCCATCCAGGCACCTTCTACGACAGGCAGTTCCCACCTCCCGCAAGACCCGCACTTCCAAGGAGGGTCCAGCCTCTGGGGGGAACAACGCCCCAATCCCACCCTCCTCGCCCAAGGTTGAAAGGGGCCTGGCCCCAAAGTGGCGTTCCCGGGGTGGCCCCGCGGGCCGACGACCCGGGCCGGGGCGCGGAGCCAGGGCGGGGCCGGGAGCGCGGGGGGCGGGTGGGCGCCGAGGCCGGGGAGAAAGGACTGGACGGGAGCGGGGCTGGGCGGGGTGCGCCCCGGAGGCCCGGGCTGCGGAAGAGGACGCGGCCGGGCTGGGGACCGAGGGGTCAAAATCCACCCGCGGGTCCCGCCGGGGAGGAGCCGGCGGCGAGGGGCGGTTGGCGGGGCCGGGCCGGAGCGGGGCGCGGACGCGAGGCGGGCGGGGAGCCCCCGCGGACCGGGGGGCCGCGCCGGGGGGGCGCGGGGCCGCCGCGGCCGGGGGCGGGGGCGCCGCGCACTCACCGCTCTGCTCCCCCAGGAACACCAGCTTGAATTTCCTCAGCGGGTTCCCGAAGTCTCCGCCCGCGGACATGATGGAGCCGGAGGAGCTGCCGCCGCCTCAGCCCAGAGCCCTCCCGGCCCGACGCTGCTCCAACGGGCGGGCGAGGAAAGCGAGAGGAAGGGCGGGCGCCGCGCTCTCGGCCCCCGCAGGGCCCGGCGCGGAGCGAGCGGCAGGGCGGGCTCTCCTCAGCCGGGCGGCCGGCGCCGACGAGGCCCGCGGCGGAGCGGCGAGGCGGGTGGCGTCGGAGCACAGCCCGGGTGTGCTCGGGGCTCGGAGGCTGGCGCCGCTCCCCGCGCAGCGCCCGGCGCTGACACCGGCTGAGGGGACGAGAGCGGCGGGGCCCGAGCTGGACGCGTCGGCTTCCTCTCACGCGCAGCGCCTCGGCTCCCGCTCCCGCAGCCGCCGCCGCCGCAGCCCAACCTGCCGAGTGCGCGAGCCTCTGGCGCGGCGCGGGGCGAGCCCGGGCGCGAGCCTGCCGCCCTGCCGGCCTCCGGCGTGCGTGCGTGCGTGCGTGCGTGCGCGCGCGTGCGCGTCACAGCCTGCGCCGCCCTGGTGTAGGCGGCGCTCCGGCCCCGCCCGCGCGGCGGGGACGAGGAGAGGTTGGATTTCGGCTGGCGCTGGGAGAAGCTAGGAGGAGGCGGGCTGAGCTCCGAGGCAGCAAGGGGTGGGATGAGCAGCGCGTCGTCGCTTACGTGACGAGCCAATCGGGAGAGGCCGGGGCGGGCGGGGACGGGAGTGAGGTGGCGGCGCGAGAGCGCGCGCGGCCTCCGCGCGGTGGAAAGCGGGGCCTGGCGGCGGCCATGCGAGGTGTGGCACGTCCACGCCGGAGGGAAGGTGGGGAGGAGGCGGGGCTCGGAGCGCGGGGGAAGGACCCCAACAATGTGCGGGTGTGGTCCGAGAACCCTGAGGTGTGTACTGGCTGCCTCTCTCTGGAGTTCTCAAACGTGCCTCGCATTCCTCAGACCCGTCCTCACCCATGCACCGTCCCTGCTCCCTCTTGTAATTCCTCACGAGACGTCTCACCAGGTACCTTTTATGCTCTTGTTCCCAGGAGTTTCATAACTACCAGAAGCAGAGGCTCCACATTTTTGCAGATGAGGAAACAGAAGCTCAGAGAAAGGAAATGACTTAAATCCATAAAGCTGTAAAGTGGAACCCGGGTTTTCTGCCCCGCCCCGTGGAACTTCTGCAACCTCCTTATTGATAAGCCTGCCCACTTCCCAAGCCTGACTTGGCTTGTCTTCTTCACCAGCCTTTGTTCCTTCAGTGTTTGTTCACAACTCTAGGTGACACCTACCTTCTGTGCTCGAAAAGAATTGACATCATGTAAATCAAACCCCTCATTTCCCAGATGATAAAACTTAAACCCACATAGGAAAACAGTTTTGCAAAGAGATCACACAACCTATTAGAGGTAGAGCCTGACATTGTGTCCAAATGTGGGAAGGGGATAGTTTAAAGATCACCCCCTTGCCCCTAAATCGGGGCTTCTGAAGCTGTTATGGATCATCCTTCCAAAATTAGACGTCAGAAGCATTTGCATTTTTCTGTGGAGAGGAACCCTAGCTTTCATCGATTTTCAACCCATTTCATGATACCAAAACAAGTCATAGCCAAGAGGAGCCTAAGGAGAAATGACAATTAAATGTAATGTGAACAGGTAACATGACATGTTAAGGAACATGACAACTAAAGATCAATTTTAAGCTGAATGTGATCCTGGAATAGAAAAGGGACATTAGGCAAGGAAATCGGGATAAAATAAGGCCTGTAGTTAACTACAATGTCAATACTGGTTCATCAATTCTAATAAATGTATCATACTAATGACAGGTAATAATAGAGGAAACGAGGGAAGAGAAGAATATGGGGACTTTCTGTACTGTCTGCTCAATTTTTCTGTAAATGTATAACTTAAAAAATAAAGTCTATTAATAAAAGATAAAAGGTTAAGAACCACCAAATTAGGGCCCTCCCTGGTGGCACAAGGGTCAAGACACAACCTATGAAGCAACCTGCAGCCACTGCAGCATGAGTTCAATTCCCGGCCAGCCAGGGAGCAACCCAAATGGCGCAGTAGACCTCTCCAGACTCGCCTGCTGCTCCCCTCAGCCGTGTGCTTTAGTCAATCTGCCTGTTCTGTTCCCCACTCTGTCTCTGGTGAATCCTCTCACCCCCCCATACCGCTGGCCTGTACCCCAGGTCTTGTATGCATGGATAAATAAATCTTTAAAAAAAAAAGAACCACCAAATTAGAGCCTCCACAAAGATTTATATACCTTCTCATTATTTGGGGATTATTACTTACTTAGCTATAGAAATGGTAGGATCAAGAAGTGTCTTCACAAACCTAGGGATAAATTGCCGAACTATAATAGAATAAACTAAGGGGAATAAAGATTCTTAAAATATCATGGATTCTGGCCTATGAAGACAACTATATCCCCAAACCTTCTCGATCAAAATTTACTAACTTCTGATTCCTCTCAACCAAATGCAAAAGATTTTGGAACATGCATCTAAAATGAAATGGTAAAAACCTGAGTCATGATATAGACATTTGATTTCTTTTTCAATATTGGATTTTTAACGTAGCTTGGTAGGTCTGGTAGTGCCCTCGCACCAGTAACCCAGAACCCTGGCACACACAAAGTACAGCCAATACCAAGAGACTACTTAAAAAGAGAAAATCTTGCCAACAATATTGACTGGCTATTTTTTCCTTTGTGATATGTACCTGGTTTTCATTATGTTTCCTGAAATGACCTTTCAAGTAACATCTGAAGATTGGAACTATAATTAGTTTGTCGTACTTCCTCCAGAACTTTATTAATCAATTCCTCCCTGCCTCTTGGTCTGTGTAATTACTTAAACAGGTGATGCTATTCCCTATCATTCTGAGGGTATAATCACCTCTTTCCTCAGATGTTTTAATGTTTTAAGTTAGCATTTTGCATTGGCACACATATAGCCTCTAACGATGCATTCATATTTACCTAGTACTCTCTGTAAGTCCTTTGTTTTGCCTTCAATTTGCTTTGGTCTACAAATTGTGCTATAGGGTTCAACAAATGGAGAAATTATTTGGGAAAACAGGAAATAAAGAGGCCTATTTTAAGAATAGGCTTTCCCTGGTGGTCTAGTGGTTAAGATTCGGTGCTCTCACCGCCTATTTTAAGACTAGGCCTTCACCAGTACTTTCCCTTTCATTATTTCTTGCACACTATTACTCTCTTTTCCTTAAGCATTTCCCCCTCCCTTCCTCTCCCCAATTTCCACTTATCCTTTAGAAATTAAAATTAAAGCTTTTGAAAAATCTTTAAGAAGACTTCTCTATCTGCTCCCCCCACCAGTTACCCCTGTCTGTCTTCCCATTATACCCTATTCCTATTCTATACACTATTTTTATTCTTTCTCATCACTTAGTTGTTATTATTGTCAGCTGACCGTGAACTCCATGGAGTCAGAGGTGCCCCCAGCTTGAAGAACAGAAAGCATGCAACTGATATTTGCTGAATAAATTAAATACATGAGAATGTTCTTCAAAGGATGAATGGGCAGGAACACATATAATAGGGCAGGAACATTTTGGAGAAAGAATGTCACTTAAAAATATATACATTGAATACAACATTCCTTAATAATATGAAAAAGATGCTCAATAGATCTCATAACTAAAATTGGGAGACAATGAGGGAAGAGGTTTTTGGCCACTCCAAGTCAGAAGTAACTGGCAATTTTCTTTGATCAGTTTAAGTTTAATTTATTTTTTTAAGATTTATTTATTTATGCATACAAGAACTGGGGTTCAGGCCAGAGGTGTGGGGGTGAGAGGATTCATCAGAGGCAGAGTGGGGAACAGAACAGGCAGACTGACCGAAATACACTTTTTTTTTTTTTTTAATTTTCTAGAGGCATGTCTTATTTATCTATTTGTTTGTTTGTTTGTTTGTTTGGTTTATACATGCACTGGGTACAGTCAGAAGCCTGGAGGGCGAGAGAATTCACCAGAGCCAGAGCGGGGAGCAGAGCAGGCAGAAGGACCGAAGTACACTGCTGAGGGGAGCAGTGGGCGGCAGGAGAGGTCCGCGCGCCATGTGGGACCCTCCTCTGGTGGCCGGGGAGCAGCTGGGGATCGAACCGGCGCCGCAGAGGCCGCGGGCAGCCTCTCAACCCAGCGCTCAACCGCTGCGCCACCTGGGAGGCCCCCGAAATACACTTTTGAGGGGAGCAGCGGAAGAGTCAGGAGAGGTCTGCTGCGCCATGTGGGTAGCTACCTGGCTGGTCTGGGATCAAACTTGTGCTGCAGTGGTTGCGGACAGCTTCATAGGTTGTGTCTTAACCCCTTGTGCCACCAGGGAGGCCCCAGTTTAAGTTTAATTTGAAGCTCATAAGTGTGTCCAGGATCTACCACACAAAAATTGTAATTATAACTTGTCTTTCCATCCTCAGAAATAGAAACATTCTCGAGGAAGGGCTGAGATTTCATCTTAGGCCTTGTGGTGAACACTTTTGATTGCCTATCCAACAATACATACACAAACACATACATACTTCCACAATATAATTGGAAATGACAGGTAATTTTCTAACTTCCTTTAAACAAAGGTATAGGCAGGTAAGTTGGTCTGAGATAATGGGGAATGAAGGAAATGTGCCAGAGATTTCTGAAATAAATGTTCCCTGATGAAAAGAGAGAGATGAGGAAAAGCTGTCATTTCTCTTACATTGGATGTAATTGTATAAGGACATGGTATCTAGAGCTAAGACATCGTGTGAAATTAATATATAATCCTGAAAAAAGCCATCCCACTGATGATGACTAAGCAGAAAGCTAAAAAAGCATCATTGAGCCATTGTGTTAATCAATCCTGGAACTAGCCTTCCTATGAATTTCTTCTTAGCAAAATAATAAATGTCTTTATATTTGATAATGTCTTCATAATATAAATATCTGTCATTGTTACTTGCAGCTGAAAACATCTAACATTCTTATCTTTAGGATCCCTTACAACATATCACATAGTTCCTTAAACATTCAGCACTCAATACTCTGTGTGCGTGTTTGTGTGTGTGTGTAATATATAATACAGTAATAGGTACCAAACTGGAATTGCCATTTTCTGTTTACTATTCCCTAAAAAGGATTTATTACTCTTGGAGAGGCAGGAAATCAATAGGAGAAACACTGCCCAGGTAAAAGGAC